CTGAAATAGAGGCATTAGTTGTGTTGAATTTTGCCAAATGATGTCCTCTCTCTGTAGATTTTATTATCTTTTTTGTAATTATATGATTTCTTTGTCATTGGTGCTAATGGAAAATTGTGTGTTTGTTTATGGACAGCTATCAGGACTAGCCCCAATGGGAAAAAAAAAAAAGAAGTGTTTTGGTGTTTACTGAGGACTGAAATTTTTCATTTAGCTAATTTTTTAAAAAAATGGTTACATAGAAAGGATGTGCAGTACTAAGGGAACAATCCATGTGATTAATGTTTTCATTATGCTCATGTAAGAAACCTCATATTTTAGCCATAATTTTGCATACTGAGGATCCAATAATCAGAAAAGTAATTTTTGTCACATTATTTATTAAAAATGTTCTCAAATACAGCATCTTATCTTGTAAGGTTTCTTGTTTTACTCAAAACTCATTTTTAGAGTCTGATTATGATATGATTTATATCAATATACTTGATTATTCCACTGAAGGCAACAGGATCAGGCCCTTAGACTTTTGCATAATAACTTCTGATAATCATAAAGACAGAAATACTGGGTGCTTCGTGAATATTTTAGCAGCTCTAATGGGGTAAACCATCACATCTTTGAAAGCATGCTAATTTCCAAAATGAGCTGAAGACAGAAGTCCAGTCCCTAACCCATGCACATATAACACTGTAGACCAGAGAGGTGACACATTTGTTGGGGGAGAAAATGGGTGTAAGAGACTCCAAATTCAATGCTAGGGAATTTCTTTGCTAATCTACTTCCCAGCCTTGCCAAGGAATTTGTTTGCAAGAATTCATTCATTTGTTAGGGACTGCACATAGTATAGGGGTGTCTATGTGCATACTGCTGCCCCCTTCACTCTGAGGGTACATCTACATTTGAGCTGGGAGGTGTGGTTTCCAACTCATGTAGACATACATGCACTAGCTCTGCTTAAATTAGTGCACTAAAAATAGTATCCAGGACAGCACAGGCAGTGGCTGAAGCTAGCTGCCCAAGTGCGTAGCCAGGGGTCCAGACGGGTATGTACTCAGGCAGCTAGCCTTAGCTGCTCCTTGTGCTACCCCGGCCACACTACCATTGTTAGCATGCTGGCTTGAGCAGCGCTAGCACAGGGAATTGCACCTCCCAGATCATATGTAGACATACCTGAGTCATCCCTGTGCTATTGTGATGTCTCCAAAATCCTGTCTGTGGATCATAGTTGGACAGTAATTGAGCTGTGACCATCCTTTTTCCTTGTCTTCCCTTTTTCTTGCTCCTTTACTCTGATTACCCCATTCTTGCCATTCCTCACCCTGCCTCCTCTACCTCAATTTAAAAATATGAAAAATCAAAACCAAAAAAACCTGTAACTAATTAAAGGTATGCCAATTCTCCACCGTATCCATTGTCTTGTATGGTATCTCCCTGTCTCTTAAAATCCCTCCCCCGCCCGAAAATTTATCCAAGTGGAATAAAGAATCATATTCAACACCATCATGATCCTGCTAGCTTGAAGTCAACCACCAGCTGAAGTTCTGGCCCCAAATGTGTAAGTGAGGTAGGAAAACTTCCCCCATTTAATTATTTTGGTTAGCAATAGCTAACCTAGTTTAGCCATTGTCCATAAAAAATGTCATTTGTTGTTTTATATGGTCACATCTAGAAGCAATATAATGGTATGGTAAGATTTTTTGATTAGTTTAAAGGCAAAACCAATGTAAATGCAAAGATTTCTTCTGTTTGCACTGCTTTTCCAATACCATTATGGGCTTCGGTAACATTAAAATGCACAAAACAGTGAAGTGAAGAGATGTATATTGCAATCTGAGTTTCAAAAATGGTTACTGCTGTTGATCCATGTTGAAAGATAATTGATCTCATCTTTCAGAATTCATATGTACTCAAACAAGGTCACCCTTGCATTGCTAACATAAATTAACAATTGTTCATTGGCTGGGAAGTCAGCATAGCAGGAAAAAAAACACTCTTCAAAGGTTTTGAAATATTTCCTTGTGTTCCAAATTAATTCCCAATAAGAAGAAATAGTGCATAAATGTCAGAAAAAATCCTTAATGATAGTATTTAGAGTGAATGCCTTATATATAGAAGTTTGACTAACCCTAAGGTGTTTTCTATGAAATTCTGTAATGAGAATAAAATGTCAAATTATCAGATAAAAATAATATTCCAATGGAGACATGAATGTGATATGAAAAATTGTCTAAAACGCTGATGCTATCAGAATTTTAAAAGGTGCATTGCTACTATGTTTAGCCTCAGATTTCTATTCATTTTCCCATGACTGCCCATTTCTGAATATACTTAACTATTAGAAAAATAAGGGAGGGTGTACTAAAGCAATAGCACATAAACATGGTTCCCTTACATGTATTTGAAAAAGGTTTTATTCCACTCCTGAGTTAATTGTACCAAGTGATTTTAGACTGTTAATGAAATCTAAAATTATGCATTTCTTTATCAAATGTAAATATATTCGCACTGTTTAGAACCTTGACTCGTTTATTTTCCATCAACCACAATTTAAGTGATAAAATAGCTAACTAGTTAATTGAAACTTTACTGTCAAAATAGTAGTGGCATGAATTTCTTAATTATTTATTTGTTTAAATTAACACAGGAAGATATTTTACATGAAGTGCTGTCATCACAATTTTCTACCACCAAATACAATGCCATAAGTTGCCATGAATAAAGTAAAAGGGGATTGAGATTTTACATAGCAAGCAGAATGCCAAGATTTCAGAATTCAAGACTATTCTTAACTTAAAAGTAAAAAGTTTATTTTCTGGTGTAGTGAACTACTCAAATCTCAGTCCAGGGTCACTGTGCTAATAAACCAGTGCAGTTATATTAGTGTAGTCAATGTCAGCATTGAATTCTCAGTTGTGAACTCATGAATTGTTTTGGGAGAACTGAAATAATGAGTGTAATACATGAAGGGCAACAGAGAATAGCAGATAGGATATGGCTTAGGTTGGAGAAGCATCACCATCACCTCGGGCTGCCAAGAGAGTTGCATATCGTCAGCTTTACAATCACCTAAGAAAAATAAAACCACTGAGTTGAGTATATTAAACTTCCTATTCTGAACAATTTAAAAAAGATTCTAGTAGCAGGAAAAAACATCTTGCTGTTGTTTATGCCATTGGTTTACAGGTGCAAACCTTTTGTTTGTTGCCTACAAATTCTAATGCATATCTGCACAGAGGTGTTTGATTTGTCTGAGTATGTATGCAGACTAAGGTTACCAGGTGTCCGGTTTTCCACCAGAACAGGTTGAAAAGGGACCCTGGCGGCTCTGGTCAGCACTGCTGACCGGACCATTAAAAGTCCAGTTGGCACAGGGCTGGCAGGCTCCCTACCCAGCTCCATGCGGTTCCCTGGAAGTGGCGATGTATCCTTGTGTCCTTTCCCAGTGAAAATGAGCGAGTGAGTGAGGGTAGGGGAGAGCAAGCAACAGAGGGAGGGGGAATGGAGTGAGTAGAGGCGGGGCCTCAGGGAAGAGGCTGGACAGGAGGCGGGACAAGGTTATGCTCAGGCCATATCCTAAATTCATTCCTAAGGTAACCTCCCCTTTTCCCATGAACCAATTGATTCATTTTCCAACCTTCTACCTCAAGCCTCAGTGACACAAAAAGAAAGTTATATTACACACTCTAGATGTAAGGAGAGCCCCAGTCTTCTACCTGGACAACATGAAGGATTTCACGAAGTCCCTTAGACTTTTCCTCTCCATAGTGGAAAGAGCCAAGGGCTGAGCAATATCATCCCCAAGACTCTCCAAGTGGGTCTCAAACTGCATCAGACAATGTTACCAAGTTCACACTAGGACCCCTCCAGATACTGTTCGTACACACTTCCCGATCTCCTCATCTGTCACCTTCTTCAAGAACGTCCCTCTCTTAGAGATCTGTAGAGTGGTGACATGGGCATCAGTCCGCACTTTCGCAGAACATTATGTAGTCACTGGGGACTCTGCTCCGATGCAATCTTTGGCTCCACATTACTGTCATCTGTAACTGACCTGATCCCAAAACCCCGCCTGTCCAGTGGGGATGCTGTTTGGGAGTCACCTACAGTGGAGCACCCATACGGACACTACTTGAAGAAGAAGTTACTCACCTTGTGCAGTAACAATGTTTCTTCAAGATGTGTGTCCCAATGGCTGCTCCACAACCTGCCCTCCTTCCCTCTATTTTGGAGCTCCTGTCAATGACTCTGTGGTACAGAAGGAACTGAGGGGGGTTAGCCCAAGCGCTGACTAGCTTCATGGGAGGGCACGAGGAGAGACAGCGCATGTGCAGGCCTAATGGACACTGCTACTGAAGTTCTCTGATCAGCAGTGCAGGGATGCAAGTGCTCCTATAGTTGAGCACCTATAGAGAGGGACATCTCGAAGAACCGTTGCTGCTGCACAAGGTGAGTAATCTTATGTAATGTTCAATCTCACCATGGACTTCATCTTCCATTATAAGAAGGGTCTTTCATCTATTTAAAAAA